CAACATAAAAGCAGCTTTTGACTCCACCTTTCACCATGCCATTCTTGCAGCCTTCGTCAGTCTTGGCCTTGGAGAAAGAATTTATAAATAGATCGAGGGCTATTTAAAAGAACGGAAGATATAGTAGTGCCCTCCAAACGGTCCCACAGAATTTTATGCAGTAGAGAACAGCGTACCTCAGGGCGCAGTGCTCAATCCACTCTTTTTCAACATCACTCTGATCCATACAAGAAGGATATTGCCCCGAGGAGTGCACATCAAAATTTACGCCAACAAAATGTGTATCTGGAGTGCTCCAAGTCTTCAAAAAGCTCTACATAACCTCTCCGCGTATTTTGTTTTTGGGGTATGCACATTTCTCTAGAAAAGAGCAATGCCATCGCATTCACGAGAAAGAAAATGACCAAGTATCCGCTCCTCCTCGGTGGCCGGCCACTGACTTATGTACGGTCTGAGCGATTTCTTGGAATAATCATCGACAGAAGTCTTGCTTGGCCTCCTCAGATGAAGGTACTTCGAGCGAGAATAGCTGCAGCATCACAACTCTTGAACTTCATGGCGGGAACACAATGGGAATGCAAGTGCCGATCAATAATCCTGCTTGAGATAGCGTACACTGAAGGAACCTTGCGTGCCTACAGGTGCTTCACTGATTATCACCAACAAACAAGAGAATTTTAGAGGCTGCATGAAACAATTGCCTACAAATCTGTCTAGACCTTCCGAAGAGCTCATCAGGCTCGGGAACTGTAGCGGGAATTGTAAAGAGACAGCGACATCAGCATTCATAATTCCAGAATTGCATAAAGAATATGAATGGAGCTCGTAGCAATTTTGCTAGCCATAAGCTTTATTAAATTGTCAACGACACCAAGAAAATTGGTAGTATATACAGACTCTCTGGCAGCACTGGCTCGTGTGGAAAGTGCCACTTCAAGACACATTGATGTGCGTATAGTATACGCTATACTAAAAGAGCTCTCAGAAGCTACAAAGTCGAATCATCGAGTGGCATTTCAGTGGGTTCCCAGTCACTGCGAAATTAAGGGAAATGAAATGGCGGATGAGTTGGCGATAACCGCTCATAATTCTACGCAAACGTGCTTCATTCCGGTATCTCAATATGATGTAAATAGAATTTTAAGAACAACAAAACGTGAATTATGCCTGTCTACCTGGTTCACTGACAAAACAAAGCAATCGATCCTATATTCTGTTGATCTTAATCTTGAATGCCAATTAGACCTTGACCTCCCAAGACGTATTGACACAGTCATTCATCGCCTACGACTCGCAACTGCTTACACAAAGCACTTCCTACTTCGTATTTGTCGTGCAACATTGCCAGCATGTTCATGAGGCCACGATGATGAGGATATCTGTCACCTCTTGCTCGACTGTCCAAAACACGACACACACCGAAGGTGACTAGAACAAGAACTGCATAGGTTAGATCCTGAGTGAACATTCGGGTTGAATAAAATACTAGGTCCATGGCCATCCAAAACAAACGGCAAAGCAATGAAGGTGCTGCAACACTTCTTCAAAGAAACGAAGATTTGTGACGACAACTGGGCAGACAAAAGTTCAAAGTGAGCGTGTCGTCTACGTGTTTGTTCTGCCCATATAAGAGAACTTTTGCTCTCACCAATGTTGTACTGTAAATAAGTATATATGTCATTGTTTTTTTCATATTTTTATTTGTACCAATTAGGTGGAAAGGGGTAGCCGTCGCCAAGTAACGGTGACAAAAACTCCTTAGTTTATTTTCTATTTCAATAAAAAAATGATGAGGGGGAAGTACAGGTGATGGAGCCGTCGCGGATGGCGAGGCCTGAGTGCCGGCTTCAGGCATCGCGGCTGGACAAACCTGGCGTCCATTGCAGAGTTCCAGAGCCGGGTTGTGTGAAGACCCCGCACCTTCCACTAAAAGGTGTTACGGGGAAGATTTATTCACCGACAGCAGGTTTTGGTAAGGGCTTAAAGAGCGCACAGTCATGCAGGCCAACGCGGGAAGCTCGCGAGAGAGCAACCAACAACAACCACGTTGTCGTCTTCCTTCTTTCGGGTGCCATTTCAACTGTGCCGAAGCGACAGTTCCATACACGTATCAATATTTTCCCATGTGACGTTGCGTACTTTTTCTTCGCAGGTACAACTGTGCACTCAAGCAAAAAGATTGAAAATGAACGGTAACGTTTGTATCATGTCGCATTGCGTGGAAAACTAATTTGCCAAGTATAAACTTTTCTAGTATTTTTGCGAAAAGACGCCTTAGCTTGAAGGTATTGCGATCGTAACATTTCTCGCGCAGAATAGTGTTCTCAATACGTTCCTGCCAAGTCGCGTTTGAATCGCACTAAACATTTCGTAGTTATGACTGTTTGCGCAGCACGCTCATATTAGCGCATTTTAGTTTTTATAAATTTTATTTTTTTGACATTCCGAGCAGTTTAATTATTACAGACCTTCAGTTTACCAAATTTATACAGTCAATAAAATAAGTAAAACTCTTCCTTGCTCACTCGTGCACGCAGAGTCTGATATGGCCGGCATACGCCGTGCCATAGGATAGCGAAATCGTGTATACTACACCCGTAGAACATAACGGATACCTAAACGAAGGGTGGGTGCTGGAGCCGCTGTTTCAACAAGCGGACTTCTTTATTTCAATGCTTCGAGTGACTTGCTTAGTGCTTGTGATGGTGTGCTTCACATACGCATCTTCAATCCAAACAACGGAAGAGGAGAGGGCCACCGTAAAAAAAGGGGAAGAGCGCGATAAGAGGATGGCTTGGCGAATAGGATTCGTCGGAAGGAAAGCGGTAATCAGAAGGTAATCATTTTTTTCTCAGATTACCTTCATCTTTATGACTCACCCGATTCGTCGCAATGGCCTTCATTCACCCCTCCCTCTATTGCAGTTGCACTCTCGTCCTCTGTTGTATCAACTGGGGATGAGGAGACGAAGCATACACACACCAGTGCTTAGAAAAAAACTCACAGCTTTGAAAAAACGGCAAGTCCACATGTCGAAAATTCGGCTCCAGCAACCACCCCCTTCGCGAATTTGTCATGTCAGGCTCCAATCTTCCTCTCCTTTGCCTTCCTTTTCGAGCAATGGCAACACTTAGAAGTGTGGCAGTTTGGGCTAGTTGGTTTGACATGACGATAGTTATAGCGCGAGAACAGAACGACGACAGCCCATAATGCATATGAATTGCAATGCTTCTTTGAACAGAGTTTTTGCGTATATTAGTTTTTCATTTTCGAATAAAGGACAACGCAATAACAAAATGCTTACATGTTAAAGAACCCCAGGTGGTCAATATTTCCGGAGTCCTCGACTACGGCGTCTCTCATAATCATATGGTGGTTTTGAGACCTTAAACTCTACATACCGCCCCGCCGCGGTGGTCTATTGGCTAAGGTACTCGGCTGCGGACCCGCAGGTCGCGGGTTCGAATCCCGGCTGCGGCGGCTGCATTTCCGATGGAGGCGGAAATGTTGTAGGCCCGTGTGCTCAGATTTGGGTGCACGTTAAAGAACCCCAGGTGGTCGAAATTTCCGGAGCCCTCCACTACGGCGTCTCTTAATCATATGGTGGTTTTGGGACGTTAAACCCCACATATCAATCAAACTGTACTTACCAATCGATCAACAAGAAAATATTTATGGTTTGTTTTCACTGCATTGGACATAACACAAAGAATGTAGCGTAATCGGTCAATCTAATGATTGTATAGACACGGCCACTGAATCCAGCCGCCGGGGTGCTGTGTGTGCTTTTCAAAAAGCTACTTCTAACTATAACTGACAAAGTAGCAATGCTCAATGCGTATGACGTCCCTATGAAACGGGTGATAAGCGTTTTTTGTGTGTGAAGCCATGTACATGTGACATTCGTAGTGTTTCATTTCCCCACAAATTGCGTGGCATGTAGCCTCGCTGCGTTTGAACATTTGGGACCAAAAGCGAAATGGAAGCACTTCGCTCTGTTTAGTGTTATGCCGAAGCGCATGGTGTAAAGACTAATGCTTACCGCACCATGATTACATAACTACTGAAAATGAATAGAGTGGCCCAATGTTGAAATCCAGGTGAAGTATGATATATTGGGGGGCCTGCTGTTTGTAACTTCTCCATCAGGTTAATTATTTACATTCAATATTACACCGGTATTCTGTCGGAAAACGGCTTGTCACTTTGGGTGTTGTTTGTTCAGAACTTCTTGCCAAGTACGCAGGGCTTTCCGTATTTCCGCAGTGCAGACGTTGCAACATGGAGTGTGTTTTTGCGTCAGCATGTTATTTCTCTTGTCATTTATTTCGTATCATAGCGCTACCAGAACGGCACTATGTTAAAGGTATCATTATTATATATGTTGGCGTAGTTGCACGACTTGCACAAAAGTAACCACAGAGTGAATGAGAGGCGATGGGGGGCCAATACCAAATGTAGCCGCTCAGTTGCCTTACACATGATGCAGTGAAGGAATGCAACAGTTACTAAAAGTTCACATATTGGCGTATATTAGAAGCAATATTAATAAGAACCGTGCGCACTAGGTATCGCATCGAAGTGTACGTGTAGAACTGTGGCATAAATGTGTTTGTTTATGTTAAAATAGAATATATTGCAACTTCGATGACTAGTAGAGTAAGCCATTGTTGGAAGTTACCCATTGTCAGTGAGTTAAAGAGTGCCAGACGTGTTTTAAGAGAACCTGACAGAACGAATCTGCTGTTCTGTCTGGAGGGCCTCAAAGTTGGTGTAGACCTAATGCTCTTTTATGCAAACTAATTGGTGTCTTAACAAACGAAGAGCCTGTCTAGAGCTGTATACAATTTGTGTAATGTAAGGATGAAGGACGTTCTGTGATTGCGTCTAAATTAGCTACACTGACGTGAGCAGTATATAGTACGAGGTCCATGCTTTTTTTCTTTATCCTATATATGCAATAATACGGCGCCATGCATTGTCAGTTTTTTTTTTCGCAGGGTCCTTTCCTGGTCTGTCGAGCTGCGGCACGCGTCATGCTCCAAGCGAGTGTTACCGACGGTGCCATTGTTAACGTGTCCAGCCGTGCTGCCAATGACTGCTTGACGGGTTTCTCAGTATACTCTGCATGCAAGGCCGCTGTTGTGTCCTTCACGCGCTGCATGGCCGCTGAACTTGCTAAGCGGCACATTCGCTGCAATGCCGTGCTGCCCGGACTGACCGAGACTCCACCTGTCCTAAGAATGGGAGATCAAAGGCGAAACGCACTATGTGCGACCATTCCTGTTGGCCGGCTTGCTTCTACCCGAGAAATCGCCCAGGTTGTGGCGTTCCTCTGTTCTCCCGAGAGTTCGTACGTGGTGGGTGCCGCGTGGGTGGTGGCTGGAGGGAAGCAGTAGACGTAGTACTGGCATTGTTAAATGCGAAGCATTTCTTAGCGAGCTTCGGCGAGCTTAACGATATCTATCTATCTATCTATCTATCTATCTATCTATCTATCTATCTATCTATCTATCGATCTGTTTAGCCGCCTAAGACTTCAGCTCTCCTGGCCGTTTGGACAATGGGATCCTTACAAAATTTTTCATGGCACGACATGACTGCATAACAAGCATAACTGACTAGTCATAAGAAGAAAATCCTGTTTGTCATGAATGTCATGATTTGCATGTCATGATGTAGCTGCTCCAGTGGTGGTTTCGTTAACATGACTTATCGCAATATTGGTATAGCATGACATGACTGCATGGCGAACATAGATGACTGGCCCACACATGTTATTGATGACTTGCGTGTCATGTAAGAACATGACAAAGTAGTAGGCTCATTATGCAGTCACGGTCGTTCCGATAGCATCACATACACCAAATTTAGTATTACGTGACGTGAATAGATGATGAAATTATAAGGGTGGTGTAAACATGATAATCATGGTGTGCGTGTCATGTGAGAACATGAAAACATGCTGCGCTTATGATGTGCTTGCGATCATTTTGCTTTCTTCACATATGTCAAATTTGGTGTTATGGGACGTTAATGGATGACGAAGGTATTTGACTTCTGCAAACATGATACTCATGATATTCCTTCCATGTAAAACATAATTACATGAAACGCTCATAGCGCGCTCGCGGCCGTTTCTCTAGCTTTAAATATACCAAATTTGGTATTACGTGACGTGAATGGGCGATGAACAAATATACCAGACGCAAAACTGATAATAATAAGATGGAAGTCATCAATGGCATAATTTCTATCTCCCTCATAATTTTGTGCTGATTTTAAAGTGACTAATCAAACTTCCTCAATTATGACTCGCATATCATCGATTCCCATGATATGTGGGTTCTGCAAATGTTTTCTTTATGATATATTAATATGCAGTCATGATCCAATAAAACAATAAATGAATAAATAAATGAACCCAGTAAAAGTTGGGTTAACTTATAATAAGGCTACCAAGGTGACGAGACAAACAAGTTGCAGTGAGCATCTTGAGGGGAACCTGGCTACGTCATCCACTGAAAAGTTTCTCAGTGGCCCAACAGAAGTCCACGGTATACCTAACGTATGAACTAACTAAAACAGTAAAAACAAAAAAACAACCACGCGCAGCTTTAATAAAAATGGTCATTTGCAAACATTTGAAAAATGGTAAAAATGGCGTATTGATGAAGTCTAAGAAAAACACACATAGAAATCACTTTAATGAAACTTTCAGCAAGTTTGTGGGACGGAAAAAAGGTCCCTTCCATGTGACAGCTGAAAGCTTTTAACACCTAGCGGCTTGTTTACCCTGATAAAATTTCCGGAGTCCTCCACTACGGCGTCTCTCATAATCATATGGTGGTTTTGGGACGTTAAACCCCACAAATCAATCAATTGTTCACCCTGATGGACAAACGAAGTTTTGCAGCCAAAGTTGGAAAGTTAAAAGCCTAGCTGTGCAAAACGACCTCCCAGTGCAAGTGGAGCAAGCGGAGACGTTTACTAGAAGCTGCATTGCCCGGTTAGAGAAACAACTCTAGCGAATATCCTGTATTTTCTTCGAGTACACTATTTCATAGACTGCCTATCGGTGAATAGGGGCAAGTATTCTGTTCATTTTCTCGCTTACATTATTTCATATAGTGCCCTTCGGTGAATGGTAGGAAGTAAAACTACATTCATATCATACTTATAGTCCTTTCTATAAAATTAAGGGACTGCTTCAGAAGTGCTATCAAGAGAGTGTTGTGCGACGCAGTCCATCAATCTCAAGCGAATCCAGTGACCAGACAGCGACCGTTTGTTTCATTCTCACGTGCTCATGAGACATCTTCTAATCATCCAACTGACTGGTACTCAGTTCACTTAGCACATATCTCCCTTCCACGTTGCTAACAAACCTCCCTGCTTTTCCTCAATATTTCTCTCTCTCTCTAACAAAGTTTACTCCTATCTATCGGAAAATAGAGAACTACACCTGTAGGGTGAAGGACTAATGTTTCTTGTTTACTTAGGCACACGTGCTATCCCACTTGAGACCAAAATTAAGGAAGTGCTTTATGCACTTTTAAAAGCGAAGCTTATGCAGACCAACATTAGCCCGCGTAAGGCGTAACCGGCGGTATCTCGATAACAGTATGATAGACGGCACAGTCTGATAAAAATACAGACGAACTGCACTTCAGTGAGGACATTGTAGATGGCGCTGTACCATAAATTTCCGATTTGCTGTTGTGTGGGCTGTGCCTGAGTGCGCGGGCAACGAGTGTTTCTGTCAGTTTCCTGGATCGTCGCCATTCGTGTCGGATCATTGGTGGAGCCTGGACGACGCAGAGCGGTGAGCGCGGAGTGCCGTGGTGGCTCTGGCTTGTCGTCAGATACACAAACAGGCAGAGTCAGGCAAAGAAACAGATATACCGAGATACAAACAAAGAGACACACAGAGAGACAAGCAGGTAGACGCAAGCATCGACAGAAGCATGGACGAATCTATGGACGCATGCGCGGACGGACAGATGAAGGCACGGACGGACGCAAGTACGCAAGGACGGATGCACGGGTGGGCACTTAACTCCACACATCATCATTTACTTCATGGATTTGCGAGGATTTTTCAACACGAAAGTGTTTGATGCTGAGGGTCCACCGATACTTCAGTGATATATTTCAGTCTCAGAAACGGAGTTGAAAAAATAGGCATGATTATATTTCAAAGAAAGGTTTGCCAACCGGATTCGAACCGATGACTACTGGGTGCGTGACGACATATGCCCGAAACGCTACGCACAGCGGCACGACCACATACTCTCGAGCCTTTAAAAAAGCGCTTTTTTATATCTAACACCAACTTCGTATATTTTCTTCTTCTCGCCTATGGTATCCGCTGTTAGCGGTCTAATCAAGACTTATGTTATGGCCAGCGCATTTCATTGTGTAGCCCCATATACTCGGCTGCTGACCCGCAGGTCGCTGGATGGTATCCCGGCTGCAGCGGCTGCATTTCCGTTGGAGGCGGAAATGTTGTAGGCCCTTGTGCTCGTATTTGAGTGCACGTTAAAGAACCCCAGGTGGTTAAAATTTCCGGAGTCTTCCACTACGGCGTCTCTCATAATCATATGGTGGTTTTGGGACGTTAAACCCCACATATCAATCGATCGATCCAACAATAATAATGCCATCCAAACCTCAAGTGCCTCTCATCAGATTTGGTAATTTTGAGATGACCACCACAGTGCGTACATTGGGCGTTCACGATCCCATCAGCCGAAACTGGCAACGCTACGCCCCACAAATATAGGTAAAATTGAAAGGTAAACGCCCTATTGTTCTTTTTGCGTTCTTCCCCGGGAGAAGGAGGGGATGACGTGCACGATCAAATTGGCCGACGCGAACGTTAGTGCTGTCATGACGCTCCTCTACGCAGACGACAGGGCTCTCACGTCGGCAATAATAGCCCACGACACGATGAAAATATTTGACACTAAAGTTGTGCTTTGTGCAATTGGTTGCTTGTATAGACGAATAAAACTCGACAGGAATATTGAGACACTTAGAGAGAATGTGTGCATTTCTTTCAATTTTTCACCTTGCGAATCGCTTTAATATTAGAAGCTGTACCTCGCAACAACTTTCCGTGGCATCAAAGCCAAAGCTACGTGAGCGGAGCTTCTGCGCATATGCTACTGCGCGAAGTAGTTCATTTGAGACCGAATGCAGTTTCGATTTCCCAAGCGCATCCAACGTGCTCGTTTTTGCCAGACTGTGATATGTTTTTGATGTTATAAAATGCGAAGCAGTTTATGCAGAAGTTCAATTCGGTGAACGTAAGCACCCTTACGGAGTAGGTACTACAAGTAGCCCAAGCTGTGCCTGAACGCACTCACGCGCTAGCGCGTTCTGGTCTAAGTAAAAGCTGAGTAAGAAGCGGTAGGCTCCCTTTCTTACATTCTCTAAGTATTCATACAATGGCCTCGGGCCACGAGATTCTGTAGCCGCGCGATGAATGAACGCGTTGTAACCTAAACAAAACGCGCCGGCACGCATTAGCGCGTTCGGCCATTTTAAGTGCTGTTTAAGAGGCTGTGTCCTCCCTTTGCGCTGTCTAAGCAATCCCGTGATGGCATCGGAGAACAAGACTCTGAAGACGCGTGAAAAACCTCCCGGTGGAAAAGAACTGTATTGTATTTTTTTCGCATATTCAAAGAATTACGTTGATCCAAAAGGTAATTGCGTGAATTTTCGCCTTCGTGAACATAAGATTTCACTAAAGGGGCCCCGTACTCACACTTTGTGATGCACTGCAAGGAGTGCACTTGCCAGGCGAAATCTCCACGCACGAATAGTTGATAGCCACAAAAAGCGGCTGTTGAGAGAAATATTGGAAGCATATCGAATAAAGAAAGGAGGTGAAAAGTGTTTCAGCAGGGTGTCAAACTCCGAATAAAGATTCGGAGTTCGATTTTTTGGACGTATTGTAACTACGTGCATTTGCCTTTCTTGTTATTTTTTCATAGTTTTTGTGGGGACTTGACACTTGTTTTTTTTAGTTGCGTGTCATTGGTTATGGATGAAGTTTTTGTTATATCACGATGTTGATGATGACAGCGGTAGTTTGAGTTGATGTACGTGCGTGCTATGTCTATGTATATAGTTGTTCGTTTTGAATAAAAATTGTCCTTTCTCAGTGTTGTACTTGATAGCACTTGTTTTCTTGTAAACCAACGTCATCCCGTGTTGCGTGACAATCAACTCGCCTGGCGTGCTTCAACATGAGTTCGGGACAAGTAGCAGCAACAGAAACTACAGTGAATTCATAATGTGCTCCACTTGGAAGGACGCGAAAACATCTGGCAGGGTGTCCGCGATAAACGAGATGTTAAGTCAGCCCATGCGCTGCTTCCCATGCTCCTCA